ATACACCATGGAATACTATGCAGCCATAAAAAAGGATGAGTTCATGTCCTTTGCAGGGACCTGGATGAATTTGGAAATCATCATTCTCAGCAAACTAACACAGGAACAGAAAACCAAGCACCACATGTTTTCACTCATAATTGGCAGTTGAATAATAAGAATACATGGACACACAGGGAGGGGAATATCACACACTAGGGCCTGTTGCGGGATGGGGAGCTGGGGGAGGGATAGCATTAGGAGAAATATCTAATGTAGATGACGAGTTGATGAGTGCAGCAAACCACCATGGCACATGTATACGTATGTAACAAACCTGCATGTTCTGCACGTGTATCCCAGAACTTAAAGTATAATTAAAAAAAATAAAAAAAATAGAAAATGGTTGCTACCAGGGAAGGGGAAAATGAAAGCAGAAAATAGCCCAAGATCACTGCTTTTTATTATAAACATTGTAGAACTCTATAGACCACCTGACCTCCCAAATCAGCACAAAACTGCCATAACTTCAACCTTCCAAAATACATTCTCACTTTAGAAAGATGGAAACCACAGAATATGTGAAGAAATAACACAGAGCAACACCACTCAAAGATAATCATGTTAAATATTTTGGTATAACTGGATATTTTTTTCTAGGCATATTTTCAACAACTGACTTCATATCTGGCATGTAAATTGGTATCCTGAATTCATTTATAAAAACACTCAAACTAAATAAGAGGAAAAGATCATTTGCTGGAAAAAGAAAGCCAACCTCTCCCAACTCATAACACAGCAATTCAGTATGCATATTCCATTGAAAAGAAGTCAATAACATTTTCATGCAAAAAAAAAGTAGAACAAAATGTGTAATCTCTTTCAACAAACAGTAGCATATTAATTAAGAGTCCAGGTGCTAGAATAGTCTACCTGGGCTCAAATTCCAACTCTACTGTTTTTGTGGTTGTGTGATGGGCACTATTATAACCTCCACAAACCTCAGTTTCTCTAAATGTAAAATAATAATAATGGTACCTTCCTCCTAATATTTCTATGAGGAGTACCTGTTCAACAGTAAGCAAATAACCCAGCATGTCATAAATGCTCAGTAAACATTAGCATTGCAATTATTATGATTAATAACTATCTAATGGGTAAGACACAACAAAAATATGTAAGACCAATGGAATAAACAAAGGATTTAACAAAGCCAAACGCAAAGGGTCACCAGTGTGAGAGGAAGGACAGGACAGAAGCCTCTCCTTTCTGATATTTGACACTAAAATTTATTTGTCAAATAAGCAAATCATGGATGCACTTTAAATTCCAAGCTGAGGAGTTTCCGAGCAATTTTAGTGACCTCATCCAGTAAGAGAGAGTTGCATGGAGAGGGTAACAGCTATTCAGGGTGATTTGTCTAATGGAAACTGTCAAAATGACAGTGCAGTGGGTCACACTCTGGAGTACAGGTCTTACCCAATACGACACTCTTCAAAAATGTGAATTCATTAGGTTTTGAAATACAGTTGACCCTTAAACAACACAGGTTTAACGACACGGGTCCACTTATATTCACAAATTCAATCAAACACACAGTATTCACAGAATGTAAAACCTGCATATAGGGAAGGCCAACGTTTCCTATGCAAGGGTTCTGCAAGGCCAACTATGGGACTTGAGTGTGCATGAATTGGTGTCCTGGGACCAATTCCCTGCGTATACTGAGGGACAAGTCTACTGCGTCCTGGGTCCCTGGTACAGGGAGAATAAGAGTCAGAATGCTTTGAAAAGAAATCTTGGGAGCCAAAGAAGTGCTCACATATAACAGAGGCCTGTAGTGAATGAGAGAGTCCTTCAGGGCCTTCCAAATTCAGTGAAGAAATGATTATTTTGGGATGGGGTGAGAGGAGACAGGAAGATCATCCCTTCTTGTTGCGGAGTAAATATTCTAGGAAAAAAAAGAGATTTGCCCAGGACTTGTGTCACTTGATCTTCCTGTGAAATATAAACACATTAAGAAATAAAACAACAAATGTCGGGCCAAATGCCCTTTATTTTCTTAGTCCTTCCCCTAGGAAGATATATAAACTGAAAGGCAAGGGTGGGGATAGAGGTGAAGGAGTCACAGTAACTAAGAGAGCTCTAGCCTAAAAACGTAATAATTATCTGATTTTAGTTCTGCTACTAATTAGCTGCACAATCACACTTCATCACTGCGGCGGTTTTCTGGTGTGTAATTTGGGGATATAACAACTGTTCTACCTACCTTAACAAGTATCATGAAAGAGATAATGAATGGGATAATGCTTTCATCAGTCCAACTCCAGTCAGGTGACAGATACTACATCAGTTTTTTGTTATTTTTCAGTAGAGAGAATAGTTGACTAGCAATAACAAATTATTAATTATGTTACAGAAAAGGCCAAAAAGACATTAAAGTGGCATGGAGATAGCTGGGCATAGAGGTACACGACTGTAGTGCCAGCTACTTAGGAGGCTGAGATGGGAGAATCACTGGAGCGCAGTTTGAAGCTGCAGTGAGCTGTGATCGCACCACTGCACTCCAGTCTGGGCAAAAGAGTAAGATCCCATCTCAAAAACAAAAACAAAAAGTACCACAGAGGAATCAACTAGAGACAGCAGCTTGGCATGGTTGTGTCCATACCAAGATTTCCCCACGCAAATTTCAGCTTGAATTGTAGTTTCCATAACAATTGTAATCCCCATGTGTCATGGGAGTGGGAGAGAACTGAATCATGGGAGTGGTTTCCCTCACACTATTCTCATGACAGTAAGTTCTCATGAGATCTGATGGTTTTATAAGAGGCCCCCCACTTTGCTCAGTTCTCATTCTTCTCCCTGCTGCCATGTAAAGAAGGATGTGTTTGCTTTCCTTTCTGCCATGACTGTAAGTTTCCTGAGGACTCCCCAGCCATGCTGAACTGTGAGTCAATTAAACCTCTTTCCTTTATAAATTATCCAGTCTTGGGTATATCCTTATAGCAGCATAAGAACAGACTAATATACAGCTACACCAAGGCTAAAGGAACAAAAGGAAGTGGATGGAATTACCAGAACTTTGAGGTTTAAAGGGGAGCACCCAGAGAGCTGATCCTTGGGTCTCTGAGGAGGAGGTCCTGTTGAGCTGGTACTAGTGTCTCTGAGTTTGAGGGCAGGGCAGCCCTCTGGGGTGTGACCCCTGGTCAGTTGATACTGGCATTGCTGAGGTAAGGGCACAATAAAGGTGTTTCTGCAAATTTTAGAACAACTGCAAACTAGATTCACCTACTGCTACTGCAAAAAATGGCTGCTGCCAGGGTTAAGAAGGGAGGCTGGGGTGAGGCTGACAGAATAGGAAGCAGGATGGAAGGGCCAAGTCTCTTCAAAAAGACTCACTTGAGGGGAATGGTAAGAGCTCTTTAAATAGATTCAGTTATTCACTCTCTCCCCTCTGTGTCTTTGTTTTGCTGAAATGTGCATAATACTCAACAGAAAGACTAAAATGAAAAGGAAGAACATACTAAGTACTGTTGAAGATGGAGAACCAGAACTCTCATGGGCGGCTAATGGGAATCAACACTGAATAACCCTTTGTGAAGAAGACGGTTTGGTAACATATACTAAAGCCTAACATACACTGGACGCTGTTACCCAGAGAGTGCACTCCTGCATGCACACATCTTGTATGATTCCATTTATAAAGTCTTCAGTAAGAAACGAATATGATCAATGCTCTTAGCCGTCAGGAAGGTGGTTACTCTTGGGGTTGGAGAGTGAGGCAGCAGCAAGAGGGAGACTTCTGGCATGCTCTGCTTCCTCATCTGGGTGCTGCTTCCATGGATGTAATAAATTCATAAAAATTCATCGGGTTGTACACTTTTATATATGTATACTTTGATGTGATTATGTAATATTTTAATAACCGTTAAAGGTAACACCATTCCGCTTCTGGGCATATACCCAAAAGAGTAGAAAGCAAGAACTCAAAGAGACATTTGCACACTCATGTTCATGGCAGCATTATTCACAAAAGCCAAAAGATGGAAGCAACTCAAGTGTCCCTCAGTGGATGGATGGATAAGCAGTTTCTATATACAAATGTGGAGTATTATTCAGCCTGAAAAAGGAAGGAAATTCAAACACATGCTACAACATGAATGAACCTTCAAGATATAATGTGAAGTAAAATAAACCAGTCTCACAAAAGGACAAATACTACATGATTCCATGAGGTGCTTAGAGTAATCAAACTCTCAGAGACACAGAGTAGAATAATGGTTGCCAGGGACCAAGGAGGGAGGAATGAGGAGTTATTGTTTGACAGATATAGTTTCAGTTTCACGTGAGTTCTGTGGATGGATGATGGTGATAGTAGCACAAGGTGAATGTAGTTAACGTACACTTTAAAATTAGTAAATTTTATGTTATCTGTAACACAAATCAAAATTTTAATTTTTAATTTAAAAAAAAGTGATTCTAATATATACCTTCCAAGTAAATGCATGTATCGTAATGAAGTTATTAACTTACCTCTGGAAGACATTCCAGCATGTTCACACCTCTTCTCTTATTGGGCTACTGTTAACTCTACCTTTTTAATCTTGTGTACAAGAAGTGAAAAAATCAAGAATGGACTCTCCAAGCAGTAAGAGGAGATGCATAAGACCACTTTACATGGAACCTTTCACTAACAAAATGCTTTAACATCCTCCTTCCCGTTTACACTCACTACACCCCCCTGCAAGAAAGGCAGGTCAGAGATATCTGTTACCCTCACCTTACAGCTGGAGAAACTGACTGAAAAAGAAAAAACCAAAAAATCACAGCCAACGGAACAAACAAATTTTCTTTTACCAAATTCAAGCTGTAAGACATCCTTATGATGTCTTACGTAAGTGCATGAGTAGATTTAAAAAGCAAATTCAATTTACAAATTAGTTTTGTGCTTCTATTGCTCCCATAATAAAATGCGTAATGTTACACAGATCTTTTTTATATTTTGAAAAACAATTTCACTGTTTGACTTGAAAACAGTTTATTTAATTTATACAAATAACTACTAAATACAAAAAGTAGATTAAAACAAAATAGTTATTTTTTTCTGGCAGAGTTTAAATGCACATAATGGATAATTCTGAAGAAAATGCATTTTCCCCGTAGCGTTCAGGACTAAAATTCTACTGAAATCTTTGCTTCTAAATCAGTAATATATTCGGTGGTGTCACGTGGGTAATGGCTAAATATGTTCTGCATATGAACTGAAAAAAAGTTACAGTCTACACACATACAAATGTGAAGCACTTAAAATGTGAATTTAACTGATAATAAAAGAAAATGTCCATTTTAGAGTATAGTGTTAAAAACATTTCGGTAATAAAATCATAAGACCACATAAAAATAAGCTTTAACATATGCACGAAGCAGTTTTGTAAAAACTACCAAGTGCACAAGTAATAAATAATTTGCAAAGTTGTGTATAAACAATTCCTAATGTTCGGCATCATTGTAAACATCAGCACATGTGTAAAATGCAGCAAAGTCTGACATTACATTTTGTTTTGCCAAATTGAATTCCTATTATCCAAAGACAGACCAGTGGAGTACGCAGCCAACATTTTGGCAAGTTGGGTCTTTAAAATTAAGAGTAACAGTGCAAGTAAGGAATGCAAAGAATTCCTAGTGCAATAAAGAAGAGAAGCACAGGCAATATTGCTGATTAAAAATTCACCACCTCCTTGAGTTTCCCGTGGGGAGTGTCTAGGAGACTTGTGAAAGCTATGCAAAGCCACTGTCTTAATGCCCAGATCTCTTTTAGGATTTCTCTGTGTTCCTCCAGTCCCTACCTTTGCAACAGTGTCTGTCCAACATTAGTCTCTGCAGTGTGAACAGTTCGTGAAATGCCCAGTTCACAGTCATCGAGCGAGGTTAGGGTGGTTTTGATGTCTCCCCAACACATGGCTGGGTATGATGTCTGCCTTGTCAAAGCAGCCATTTGGGGAGGGAGACAGATGGATTCTGTTCTGGCAACCAGTCAGGCCAGCATTAGGTCCCAGCTGGACAATGACAACAACGTCAAATCTTCCTTCTTGACACTATGAAAATGTCAACAGTCAGTTTTCAATTTGTCGAGGGAATTATCAATTTTGGTCAAAGTCTTTTTGATACGCAGTGCTGTGAGTCTTGCGGATGGATTTTGATACCAGCATTCTTTCATTAGCTTGGCCAGAGAGGTTAATGTCTGAGGAGAGAAAGAACAAACACCACAATGACAAACTGGCTTTTCAGTGGCCCTGGAAGCTGGGCTGATATCATGTCAACTGTTCTGAAGAACTCGCAGGTCTTGTGAAATTAGAGTTATGTTACTGTCATCTTCTTTAAACAAATATTCAAGCTTTAACCACTGATAAAGAGGCTACTCGTAGAGTTTCATGAACTCTGTCCTTTGGACTCTTAATGCTACCAATTTACTTTATCAGGTAAACGACACAGGCCAGATTGGACCCCTTAATGATTTTATGGGTGCTAAAGGCAGCAATACTAACCTAGAGATAATCCTGAAATTTCCAAACAGGGTCATTTCTCATTGTTTTATATCTACTACTACTTATGAGTAGCAATACAGGATCTTCAGCATTCAGCAGCTTGTGTTTGGGATTTCAGATATGCAGAGATGGAAAGGAGGTTAAAAGCTTCACTTAAAGTCTCTTGGTTTACATATGAAACTGCAGTCTTAGGGCCAGTAGCGGTAGTCACGAGTCTCCCGATTCTTGGAGCTGCTCATTCATAGAAATTCTTACAAATATTGTCATTCACTAGCAACCCCTATCAGATATGGCTTCTTCGAGAATGGGAGTATTTGTCTGAGCTTCCTCTACTAGATCTAAACCCTTCTACATAAAATAGGAAGAGAAAACAACAGATACACAGGACAGATCACTCAGATGCTATACCAGTTGAAACTCAAAGGGAAACAAATAGCAAACAATGGAAAAGAGCTTTAAAACTGAGAAACTGGCATTCTTACTGGGTCTGAGAACCATCTGTTGGGTATGTTTGGCCTTTGTTGATCCACACAGACTACTTTCCTCATATCCTCAAAACTTGGGTCATTGGGAACCACGTCGTAGAATGGTGGCTTGTAATCCTCCACTATACCTGCACACAAGGACAAGAATTGTGTTGGGTTAGCAAGAGAGTACAGGTTCCCCCAAGGTTTCATTGATGGGTGTCACAGGTTACAATGTGACAGAAGAAAATACTAATCACCTTCCTCATACCTCAGGGCAGTCCTGGAAGCTAAAGGTAGGTCCTAAAACAGGCAGAGAAAAAGGCAATAAATATACACCCTGCAGGGTATTGGAAGAAGGATAATTGTTAGAAGGAAATACGTGAAAACTTCTCATGTAATCATAACTATTAGCAAAATTCTCCCACAGTGTGTATTAACAGCCCTGTAATGCCCAACAGGGCACTGGAGACACAGAACAAAAATTCCTTTGGTGATCTAAAACACCTAAGCCACCTAGGGAAAGCACATGAATCTAGTGGCTTCAAACCATAAATAGAAATAAAAAGTTGTCCACAAACCAGAGCTAGGGAGTAATAAACCAAGACCATCATCAAAATACCCCTTTTTTGTTATAAAAATATTTTGTTAAGAAAAACATTGTTATACATTAATCTCTTCCATTAGGAGGGATGCAAATAATATAATAGGAAATACTCATTTCCTCATTAATTCATTCTACATGTACTGAGTACCCGCTAACTGCCAGGCACAGCTGTCTGACTGATGGTTCTATTATTTACAATCACATTGAAGGCATAAAATAAAATGTAAAGAGGATAGCCACGTGGGAAGGCAGAGGAAAAGAAGGATAAATAATGAGCTCTTCCTCTGCCCGAAAGCAAATGTGAAAAGTAGCTAATTTCAGCTTCTGCCCCTGCATGATTTCCAGTGGCCTGGAAACCTTTTCTTTTCCAGCAGAATTATATCAACTCCTTAAACAGAAAAATGTTTAACTTCATTATTTGGAATTAGAAAATGGATTCTTCCCCTTCATAGACATAAAACCAAGACATCTATTATTTCTTTTCCCTCAACAAAGGGTTCAAACAATGAGGTAATAGCTTGGTTTACTGCTCTCTTTTCTTCCTCCAGGTCTTTCTTCTATTCCTAAACACCTAAAAAGTTGTTGGAGGGGACAGAAGGAGACAGTGAGGAAAGTTGTAATTCAGTTGTTCTAGTTCCTAGAAGCCACCTGAAAAGCTTCAATTCCCTTTTCATTTATCATAGAAATTACTAACAGTGGGAATCCATTCTTACAAATTCCATACAAATACAAACCATTTATGCAAAACATTAGCTATGATAAAGAGCATCTTTTCAAGAAATACTATACATCTTTTTAAAACTTCACAAATTTGGCTAAATAAAGGTTTATATTTGAGATGGAAACTAGTCTAAATTATACTTTTTAAAAATCTAGGCTGGGTGTGGTGGTTCACGCCTGTAATCTCAGCACTTAGGGAGGCCAAGGCGGGTGGACCACTTGATGTCAGGGTTCGAGACAAGCCTGGGCAACATGGCAAGACCCTGTCTCTACTAAAAGTACAAAAATTAGCTGGGTGTAGTGGCGCATGCCTGTAGTTCCAGCTAACTCAGGAGGCTGAGGCACAAGATTCGCTTGAACCCGAGAGGTGGATGTTGCAATGAGCCAAGGTCACACCACTGCACTCCAGCCTGGGTGACAGAGTGAGATTCTGTCTCCCAAGAAAAAAAACAAAACAAAAAACTAGTTAATTCCAAATAACTTACCCACCTTGTGTAACTGCATTTGAAATGCATATCAGTCAGTGGATTAAAACCTTCCTGGCAAATCATAAACAGGTCATATTGGGTATAAACTGCTACTCTCAGAAGTCTTGGAACGCCTCATCTTAGAGGCCCTTCTTCTCCTGTAAGAATCCCAGGAAGCATTCAAACAAATATCTTTTAATTATTTTCAGTACTAACAAACACCATCTAAAATACAGCTGAACATGGACCTAGAGAGATATTTTATATGTTTTCTAGGGTCACAAGAATTTACAGAAAACAGTAAGACATGTGCCCTTCACCATCTCTCAATTTTTCTGAGAGTATATTTAATAGCCTACCTTAATATTTAAATATCTAGCATAACAGCCATCTATTTGGAGTAATTTACCTGTTGAGCTTAGGAAGGGTTATGTGAATGTGAACAGGAACACAAAGTTGAAGTTTTCTATAAATGCAAAAGAAAACAAAGCATGGCTAGATTTTTAAAACATGAGATCTGGTGATACCAAACAATGAATTTCACTATACAAAGCTGAAATTTACTCTTGTGTTTCCGTTTCCCATGTTTTAATTTTATTAAATGTCCCCATGTTTTAATAAAAGGAGTCAAGTATTTTTAAAAGACCATTTAACTGATTATCCCTGGGACTTAGTCAAGCCTCTTTTTCCTCAATCATTGGCCAACTGTTGATTGTTTTCACCTGACACTGGCCATGCTTCTCCAAAATAAAATAAACCTGGGATTAAGCTCGAACAGTCACTAGGAACTCCCTCTGATCAAGGAAAGCAATAAATCAGTTGAAAGTGCATTACTACTATGGTGGGATGCCGTATTAAATGCTGAGAGTGATAAAAATATAAGACATGCTCTTGTTTTCCAAGGAAATCAAAATCTAATGGAAAAGCAGGACAAGTCTCTCATTTTTTTTTCCTTTAGACAATGGAAATCTTGTCAAAAAGAACCTCAAAATATTTTTTCACCCATTTATTTTATATCTTGAAAGATATAAAACTATATTAGAAATAGTTTTATATTAGAACTATATAGTTTTATAATAAAACTATATTAGAAATTCTCATTCTACTTTCACTTTGAGATCCTAAATTCTCAATGATCATTTTGATTAGCTGTGTGTGCCCGAGACTGTGCTTGGCAGGGGGGATTAAAAAAAAATGAAAAAAAACAGTGGCTCATGCCTGTAATTCCAGCACTTTGGGAGGCCGAGGTGGGTGGATCACAAGGTCAAGAAATCAAGACCATCCTGGCAATACGGTGAAACCCCGTCTCTACTAAAAACGCAAAAATTAGCTGGGTGTGGCGGCAGGCGTCTGTAGTCCAGGCTACTCAGGAGGCTGAGGCAGGAGAATCTCTTGAACCTGGGAGGCGGAGGTTGCAGTGAGCAGAGATAATGCCACTGCACTCCAGCCTAGTGACGAAGATTCTGTCCCCCCCCCCAAAAAAAAAAAAAAGAAAGAAAAGAAAAAGATGCAGTGTTGGTGATGAGAATAATGAGAAAGGTGAAAGAAAAAAAATTACAGACTAGCTATAGAGGGAAGATCACAGAGAAGAGGGTGGGGAGGGACAGTGGCACTTGGCAGTGCTCACAGGAGAAAACACCTCCATGGTATCCCAAGTCCCCATATATAAACTGGGTGCTGTGGAAGGACGGGTAAGCTTTCCAGGAGGGAAGTGGGACATGGGCAGAATAGAAAGATCAAGAGTTTGCAAGGCAGAAAAGATGACAGGGAAGAGAAACCCCCACGGAGTGGGTGCATTCCAGGCAGAGGGAGGCTATGGGGCAAGGACAAGAACTGACAAACCATCCTCTGATGTTGGAGAGATGGAGAGAAGTTCTCTGGGGCTGAAATGGGTGCATGTGGTGGCAGGAGAGCCGGGGGAGAAGAAGGAGACAGGAGGTGAGGCCAGGCTGTGAGGTGATGCATGTTGTCAAGGTAGGAAATAACTGATTTACAACAGTGCCTCATTTCTGCCAGAAAGTGATAATCAGCGTAGCCAGGCAAAAAAGTGAGCTCTAAGTCCTTTAGAGGCAGCACCCAAGAAGTTACTGCCAAATCGTGAGCCAGCAAAGAGCACAGCATGAATTCAGGCAAGTAACTAAAAATACAAAGCACTTCAAGTGCCAAATGAGCAGTACAAACAACAAACGACACAGGAAGGCAGGGGAAGAGGCGCTCTTAAATGGTGGCCAGGGACGGAACAGACTGAGCCAGGCCTTGCCTCCCATGTAAGGCGGCCAGCGTGACTCAAAGGGCCACGAGAAAGAAATCAAAAACGTTATTCATAACCTACTCCCCCACAACTTTTGACAGGGGTGTCTGATTTATACAATAGTTTTTTCCTGGGCATGTGTCTAGTTGAAAGTTTTCTCTTTTCTGGGGTAAGCCTATCTTCATCAACCAATATCCCTCCCATTGGTTTGCTATATGGCTCTGACTAAACCCCTTAGCTGCCAGGCCTTAGTTTTCCAATACCTTTAAAGCACACATCACAAAGCCAATGCGCAGATCAAATATGTCCTAGATATGCACTTCGAAAAGCATGAAACACCAGTGGCCTCACAAATGTCCAGAAACAAGTCCTTCCTCAAGACCTTGCCCCCGAGGTCCTGAACTAGACACCCATTTTCTTTCCACTTGACAGCTGCATGTGGGACACACAGGTTTCTCTATGTCGGTCCTTCCCTGCCAACCTCCACCCTATCCCACTGCCCTCAGTGAGATCTGTAGGAGAAAGTTGAGAAAGGAGCTCACCATGCCCCTCCTCTGCGTGTATTCCATCAGTGCTGTCCATGGGAGCCCACTCCTTTCCCACTAAAGTCCATTCCCCACCACTGTCCTTCACATACGTGGACATCAGCCACACCAGAATTACTTGTAGTTCCATCAATAGGGCACCTTTATGGGATCCTTCAGCTCTACCTTTTGTCTGACATACCAATTGTCACCGTGGTCAAGTTTTATTTCTCATTCCCACCTGCATCACATCCTCCCAAGCTTGTCCAACTATGTTCTTATTCAGTCCACGGATGACTCAGTTCATGCTTCTCACCTTCCAAGAAGACTGTTCCATCCTGCTACCACAACGCAGGGGCCTAAATGAAGTTCAGTGCCCTCACCCCCATACTCCGTCACCTTCCTATATACCTCAACCGCAGTGGCTTGATCTATTTATTTATAATAATTTGACTCTTCAACAAGAATGTAAGCACCTTTTAATCAGATATTCTGGGGGTTATTTTGCTCAAGTGCTTGAGCCTAACACACATCTAGTGTATTACAGATACTAAATACACAAATAAATGTTGATTATATA